TAGAGAATGGATAGGAGACGACGGTAAAAGAGAAGGAAGCTGCGATGGAAGAGAAGCGGGACCGAGAGGAAAATATGGTGCAACTTGCAAGCAAATCGGAGGCATCGTCTTGGTGGGGGTGGGGTCATGGGGACTGGAGTTAGGATTTTAGCGCAAATAAAGGCAGTATATATATGGGATGGCGACGACCGCAATGTGCTTGATGAGCCTCCTACTAATTCGGCCGAATCTGGCTATAGCATGCCATGCTGGGGGGAGCAGCCTAGGCACGAGGCATATACATCAGACATGGTAGGCCGGGCCAAAACAACAGGCCACGGGTCAGCCTATGGGCGTCGTGGCCACACCAAAAGCAATTTTATCTCATCTGCGAAGATTCTTCAGTTACATTATTTCACTAGCAAATTCTTTTCACAATTTCAAAGAATGACCCTACGAGGGAGAGTATATTTGATTGAATGTACCATGAAGGTAAACCATTAATGTTGCAAATATCAAGTATGATATCTATTCCTAATAATAAAGAGGCAAAATTTCAGCCTATTTTTTTGTCCATCCATTTTTTTGTCCGTCTCCCTCTAACTATCGGACAATGGAGAGTTTCTTCCGTTCGGACTTATATATGTAACCCGTACTCATACAAGTTAGATTAGAATAGCTCTTGTCTAGCGCGATAAAGAGTCTAATTCGAAATCATATTCGGTTTATGCTCTAAAACAACTCGCGTCTAGTGATGATACCGAGTCCGATTCTAATATATATGTGTCACATCACCATATACGAGTACACCAAGGCCGGCACGCACGAGCTGACACACCTGTATCTATGCGTTGTAACAGGATTAAAAAACTATCATGCTTTCATTCCGGGTGATTCTATGAAAGTGAGAAGTCTTCTACCTTAAGCGCAATGCTCGGGGAGTGCATATATATATATGCTATCTCGAAGCATTTCAAGTTTTTTTTAATGTTTGTTTGCTTCTAAAAGAATTGTGTTTTTGACTCTCTTATTCATGAGCAAATGCAATAAGCTAAAGTATAATTCGTGATGCACATAGAAGAAATTAAATAAATGCCTAAAAATTAAAGGCCTGAGAGATATCCGGAGCGGGTTCCTTTCGCAACAATTACCCCTTGCGATAACGCTTCTACAAAACTCACGTTTTTCTTCCAATCAAAAAACGGACTCGACTTGCCAATTAGCTGAGATGTTTTCTGGCCGGACGTACGTGGTGATTGCTCTATCTAGGACCGAATTCAATTGGCTCTCCTCCCATGCAGTCCGGTCATGACACGTGGACCCAGCAAGATGAAGTTCCATTGCATAACGTGAAGCAATCCCAAAATATGTACGTATATTTGGTTCAACATCTTGCGGCCGACAGACATACCTACAATACTTAAAAAAGGATTTGTAAGGACGTCCCTTTTTATTTAAGGGCAGCTCCATATTAAGCCGCTCCTACAAATAGTGTCAAAACGGGCCATCCTTATAAATTTATTTGTAGGGAGGCTTGATTTGTAGGGACGGCTTAATTTCCAGCAGGATTTGTAGGGGCAGTTCAATATTGAGTCGGCCCTACAAATAGACGTCGAATAATAAAAATTAAGCACTAAAAATTGAATTTTTTAAACAGCATCGGATGGAGAAATGACAAAAATAAAAGTTGTAGATCTCGAAAAGTTACGAAACTTCGTTGTTTACGACTTTTTCATTTGAAATCATTTACTACTTCAAAATGCTGTTTGAAATTTAATTTTGAAATTGTTGAAGAACTCTAATTTCTCTTTTTAATCACTGGCTAAAACTTGTAACTAGTCTTTCTCCCCCATACTAACTTTAAATTTGATGATTTTTTCCTAAGTTTTTCTAAAATCATGCTCTATCAATTTATTGTGTTCTTACAACTATTATTTTGTCTGTCTTTTCATGCGACTGTGTTTTATCTATTTGAATTTTGAATTTAAAAAAATAGCAACTTCAAACGTTATTTTGAAACAGTAAACGATTTCAGTCGAAAAAGTCATGACCATAAAAGTTGTAGAATTCATCAAGATCTACAATTTTTATTTTGGTCATTTCTTTATCTGACAAAGTGATAGTAATATTATTCATAAATTTACATATCGCTCGTATAGTTCCATAAACTATAAGAGGGATATGTAAAATTTATAAACAATGTTAATACCACTATGTCGGATAACCAAATGATCAAATGACAAAAATAAAAGTTACAGATCTCGGAAAGTTATAGAACTTTGTAGTTGACAATTTTTTTATTTGAATTCATTTTGTTAAGGAAAACTACGTTTGAATTTCTAAAATTTGAATTTCAATTTTTTCAAATGACCTCGAATGGAAAAACTACCAAAATGAAAGTTGCAGATCTAAAAAAGTTATGAAACTTTGTAGTTGACAACCTTTTCATTTGAGATCATCTCGTCAAGGAAAACTATGTTTGAATTTCTAAAAATTTGGAATTTGAATTTTTTAAACGACCTCGGATGGACAAATAGTAAAAACGGAAAGATGTAGATCTCAAAAAGTTATAAAACTTTGTAATTGACAACTTTTTTGATTTGAAATCATTTTGTCAAGTAAAACTATGTTTGAATTTCTCAAATTTTGTAAACGACCATGGATGGAGAAACTACGAAAATAAAAGTTGTAGATTTCGAAAAGTTATGAAACTTTGTAGTTGACAACATTTTCATTTTAATTCGTTTAGAGCATCAAACAATCAATTTAAACTCAGTTTAGCATAATATGTGGGGAAAGAAAATCAATTATAGACACGAGTGATGAGTGGAGTGGTTAGAAGAGGAAACGCGCGAGCTCGAGGTCACAGTTTCGAACGGAACCCAAGCGGCGCGCGATTTTCACGTGAAAAAACGTGCAACTCACGGTTTACGTGTGGCTGACCGGTGAGTGCCTCTCCGAATTAAAAAAAATTCATATTTTTTAACATGGATTAATGAATTTTTTGGAAACGGAGCCGCCCCTACAAATTGGATTTGTGCGGTCCCTATAAGTCCACGATTTGTAGCAATAGGATGGTAGGGGCGGCTGGCCAAACCGCCCCTACAAATCCGTTTGAGCCGCCCCTACAAATCTTTAGTGTAGTAGTGGCATATTTGCGACAGACATCTGCCGGTCGTTTACACCAAAGGCCAGGCCTGTAGAATGTTACGGACCGTTTGCCGAGTCATGCCGCGCTGCGAGCGTTGAAGTTCATGCATAGATCATGAAGATAAATATATATATTCATAAAGAACACAAGATACTGAAGTATATTGTTCACGATAGGTTTTTGTATCAGGTGGCTCATGAATCATGGTCAAACCTATTTCGCTATTTGTAGCTAAAGACTAAAGTAATGTTCATATAGTAGTCAAGTTGTTCGATAACCTACGTACATACAAGTCACGTTTGTTTCTTCTATTCAATAAATCCAAACTAATTAACAAAATGAAAAGGGACATGCTATATTACATGTCTACATTTATTTCTTTTTTCTTCAAGCAACTAGACAACGGATAAGATTTTCCTATTCGTCTTCAACTCTAGGTTATCTCTCTTTCAACATACATTTAACTATAACTCTGTCTCTTGTATAGTACTTGTACTTCATCTTGGTTAGTCTTCTATCCACTATGTTCAGCTCCACATCTCCACCATACTAACCGCTATTGGGTTTTCCTCTTGCCTCTTTCACCCACCATTTATCCTTTGCCCACACGGTCAACAACGACGATCACCTCACGCACTCCATCCATTCAGCCACCTCTTTCATCGGTTTAATCCCTCGTCCTAACTTTTTTTTTACAACCAATTTCGATACAAAAATGCTATACAACACACATATGTTTTAACGCAAAAAAAAAACACATGGATTTTTTTTCCCTCTCTCCCTCTCTCTCTTTTCAACTGTCTGCAGGTTTGCTTGCTGCTGGCTGCTGCATTCGTTCATGTGTGTGCGTGACCGCAGCAGTGTAGATCAGTGGAAAGGCAAACAGATCTCATCACCCAGATCACAGAAAGCAAAAGGTAATCGAACTGGCAAAAGTCGCAGCGTCTACGTGTAGTAAGACCGGACTGGCCCGACACGTACGTACCGGCGAGGTCTGCAGATGAGCCGCGACACGTACGTACAAACCCGATTTGTCTTTTTTTGTCTTTGCATAGAAAAAATTGTTTCCTGTGATCAGTGGATCTGTGATCTTGTGATTTGTGATTGTCTGAAGGTAGAAGAAGGCTGGAGGTAGAAGGAGAATAGAGGCTGTTGGATCTTAATTCTATGATGTAAAAAAATTTATATGTTAAAACTGCATAAAATACATAGTTATTGAGTAGATAGACTCATTTCGATAACTTATCCGGTCACCCCTAAATTTAAACATGAACACAAATCTAGAAAAAAAAACCCATCATGTAGAGAATGGCACTTGAAACCATCTCTATTTCATGATTTTCTAGTGCCTAGGAGATGCTAATAAAAGAAAAAAAAACTCGAATATATTTCGGCCCGAACTTCATCCATTTCGTGTAAATGATCAACGGAGCTTGTTTATCTTGATCGCAAAGTCAACCAATTAATAGCCTATCATTATATGTTGCCACCGCGATTCCACCGCGAACATGGGTGTGAATTATCCCCAAATCATTGGACCACCCACCCTTTTGCGGCTTTTCCTGGAAATCAAGTAGAGACAGAGGCAAAAAAAAAAAAAATCCGGAGAATCCCCTCAGCTGGCATTGACTGGAAGCAAGTCAGCGAATGACGAACGAATATCCGGTGGGGCCCACGCGCAATCCCCAACTGAACACTCCCCAAATGATTTGGTCGTCGTTTTCGGCTCGCCTCGCCATCTGATCCCCACCTCCCTCTTCCCTCTCCAGCGCTCGATTTGGCTCGCCTCGAACTCGCGGGCTCCCCCGCTTGCAAAGCCCTCTGAAAAATTTCTAAACCCGCAGCTCTAGGCAGCCACCACCCACCACCCATGGTCGGCGGCGGCGGCGAGGCTTCGGCGGCGGGAGGTGGGAAGGTGGCGTGCGCGGCGTGGATCCGGCGCCGGGAGGAGAAGGCGGCGGCGGCGGCGGCGCGGGTGTTCGCGGCGTACGGCCGGGCAGCGGGGGCGGCCGGCTCCCCGGCCGCGCTCGAGGTGCTCGGCTTCGACGCCAAGGAGTGCTCCCTCTCCCCCGAGCCCCTGGTACGGAAGCGGGCCCATCCGGCTCCACCACCACCTCCTCGTCCTCGTCCTCGGTTTGCCTGGCCCGGAGTCGGCTGAGTTTGACCTCGGAATCGGTTTTGCTCTTGCAGGCGAGGGCCGTGCTCGGGGAGGGCGGCGCGGGCGACGCGCCGCGCGGCATCGCGGTGCACCCCGCCGGCGACGAGGTCGTCTGCGCCACCGCCACGGGCTGCAGGTGCGCCATTCTGCTCCTCCCTGGAAACAGCTTGTTCGTGTTGGTGTTAGTGGTGAAATTTTAGAGTGGTGCGTGGGGCGAGGACGTTCTCTCGGCGATGGATTGGGTGGGTCTGCCCCCCTGCCCGCGCAGCAGTTTCCGGTTTTTGTCCGTTTGGGTGATTTGGAGTGCACTGTTGGACCGTTGGTCTGTCCGCCCATCAGTGGCACTAATTAGTTGTTGAGTGTGGAATTCAGAGCGATTTTAGATTATTTCTGCGGCTGAATTGCTCAATTGACAGCTGACTTGCTATTTTAAGGAGGCTCAATCAGGGCTCTGTTTTGGAAACCTGGAGCATCCTCTCATTACTCATCGCAGATCACACTTTCGTTTTATTCCCTCTTGGGTTGAACCAATGGTGCTGCCCAGCTACTAACATTGTTGAAATGTACTTGGTACTTTACCATTATTATGTATACAGGGTCAGATTGTGCTGATAACTAGCTATTGGACAGTTTTGCTGGTATAAGTGGGGAAATTTTGATCCACATGTTGGACAATGGAGAGATGATATGGATACTAGTGTAAACACTGATTCGAGCACTCCTTGAAAGCGCTTTCAGAAAATTAGCATTTCCTCAGTCTTCTTTGGTACCATAGTACCAAATGGTCACAGGTCTTAAATAGATTGAGCTATGCAATTGAGTAATGGATTTTGTGGAATTAGTTGTACTAGTTCATTTGGGAATATAAGTTTATGTAGATCTTCGTGACCTTCCAAATGTGCAGTGATTTTAGTGTCTAACGACAAGAATTTCTCCTCCTGGTAGTTTAGTTATGTAACAAATGCATGACATGTAATTTGAAAGTTGCAACATATATGTAATGCTTACACTCTGGATTTCTCAAGTTTTAGTAAAACTACTCTTATTAGTAGAACCTATAGATTTATGAGATTATGAAATACAAAATGATAGGAGAATGAAAAGTTACCATTGCAATTTATACTTACAGCGATACACAGTTTGTAAATTTGTGTCATATAATTGCATTGTCATCAATTTCGCAACAAATGATCATCTGGATAATTTAAAGCAGCTTAATTTTGCTCATGGATATCATAAGTGCAATAGAAATATTCTTCCTCAGTTTCCTTGTTAATCTAACCAATTGAACATTTTTTAATTTCCACACTAATTTCATTCCTTTTAGTTTTGATCATATTTACTACTGAAAGCTTCTCCCTTCCTTGATCCATTTTGTTTGTTTGTCCTTTGCTTATACTTTATCAAGTCTATGACTTAATTACCATATCATCTTTCCAAACTATAGGTTATTCAAACTGATATTTGAAGAGTTCACAGTACGCATTATTCCAAGAGATGCTCCTCCACTAGAATCTGTTGGACCACAAAAGTGTCTTGCTTTCAGCACAGATGGTGCCAAATTTGCCATTGGTGGAGAGGTATGGGTTTGTATTATATTGATTTCTGAATTTCTAGGGATCAAAGTTTTTTCTTCTCATTTTTCTTTGTTTTCCATTCCTATTGTTTGCTTCTTCTTTCAGCAGTTTATTTTAACTGTTTGTACATTTAAACCCTTCCTTTGTACATCCTATATTTTGAACCACTCTCTTGCATTTAAAACCCTTCCTTTGTACATGCTATGAAAACTATTTATTCTAAATGTTTTATTTGTTGTCTAGTCCTATTGTTCAATGCAGTGACTTGTCTGATATCAATACTCTTTTTAGCTGAATCTGATACCAGTTGACTTGTTCTTTTGTACCACTGCAGGATGGGCATCTCAGAATATTCCATTGGCCAAGCATGAATGTGCTTTTGGATGAACCCAAAGCTCATAAATCCTTCCGAGACATGGATATCAGGTCAGGACAAGCTTAAAGCATTACTTTTCTTTTCTTATTGTTCACAGAGGAATGCCAGAAATATCATCATTAGATTAGCTAAATGCTTATGTAAAATGGACACACTCACTAGAGTTGTCTTTTGAACTGGAAAAAAAAACATTGATAGTATAACATATAGTTAATTCCAAACCTACATCTCAACTTCTCTAGTGTCATGGTTTCTGGTTACTGGTCACTTCAATCATCACCAACTGATACAGCATTGGTGCCTTTCATTTTGTAGCTTAGACTCAGAGTTCTTAGTTTCAACATCCACTGATGGATCTGCAAGAATATGGAAGATAGATGAGGGCGCACCACTGGTCAATTTGACTCGATCCTCGGTATGCTATGATAAATTTCTTTTATTTTTGTTGTTGAGATGGTTGAAATTGACTTCTTTTCCCTACTTTTTTCTTTGTATGCCTACAGGATGAGAAGATTGAGTGTTGCCGCTTTTCTAGGGATGGCATGAAACCGTTCCTATTTTGCACTGTTGCAAAAGGTGCGCTTTTAATTGATCTTGAGAATTATACATATGCGGAATTGAAGGCAGGCTGATTTTGACTAGATCTGTGTTCATCACTGGAGCAGGTTCCAAAGTTGTTACTGTTGTCTGGAACATAAGCGATTGGGAGAGAATTGGGTACAAAAGACTTCTGGGAAAGCCTATCTCCACACTTTCAGTTAGCTTGGATGGGAAGTATCTGGCATTGTGAGTGGATAAAATACTTCTGCTAGTGTTGTAGTACTGCTGTTGTATGAGCCCATTTAGCATTTCTAGGAACATCTACATCTGCCAATTTTGGGATTAACATGCTGCATACTTCAGCATCTCCTAGTTAATGTTTTTTTAATTCAAGAGTGTAGCCTATTTTTCAGTATGATTCTGCTTGCTTGTATATCTGATTATGTGTTCAACTCAAGTATTATATATTGACTTGACAGTCGTTGTCTATTAAACAATTAGTTGTACAATCTGATAACACTTTAATCTTGTTGGTAAGGGCATCAATTAACAATGGAGAGGAAGTCGTACTAGTTATGATTATCACTCTAACTATGCGCTGTATAACCTTTTAGCATGCTCACATGGATCTGTATTTCTTTCAGAGGAAGCAATGATGGTGACTTCTGTGCTGTTGATGTAAAGAAAATGGAAGTTTCTCACTGGAGCAAGAAAGTTCATCTTGGTTCCTCAGTCACCTCCATCGAGTTTTGTCCTACTGAAAGGTAACTATAGCTTGGCATTATATTAGTTTACTGGGCACTTTTCTTTTTAGTTCTGCCTGACTGCTTATTGCAGAGGTTAAGTCAGGCGTGCTTGTTTATTATAACATATAGTTATTCATCACTAGGTAGATGGCATATTATAGTGTCATGATTTTAAACCTCTCTTAGTTATGCTTACTGTAAGTATTCATCTGATGGAAACGCCCATGGATGCTTGAATCTGAAAGTCCAGCTGTTTCAATATGTGGCATTCAAATACTGTGTAGTTCAGCTTATGTCACCTTGAATAGACTGAACTAACTGTATGGATTTCTTCTGCTAGATTGGGCACGAATTTGCTTTTGGCATCCAAGTTTCAGTGTTTCTCCTAACACCAGTCCACTACTGATATTGCAGGGTTGTAATCTCCACATCACATCAATGGGGAGCAGAGCTGACGAAACTGAACGTGCCTGCTGACTGGAAAGGTATGTTCAGGCAAATGCTGTTTCGCCCTCATGTCCCTGACACAGTTTCCTAACCAACTGCCTGTTCTTGTAATCCTGTCTCTCTTCTCTGGCAGAATGGCAAGTCTGGCTCGTACTCCTGGCGCTCTTCCTAGCGTCCGCCATCCTGTTCTACGTGTTCTACGAGCGCTCGGACACATTCTGGAACTTCCCCATGGGGCGACACCAGCCGGCGAAGCCATTTAACGTGCTCAAGGAGTCTCCTCCGGTCCCCGAGGACCAGAATCCATGGTGATGGACTGATGGTATGCTTCATTGCGCCATTCATGAAGAGCTATACTATCCCAATTCCCAAAGCCACAATCTCAAAAAAGAAAAAGAAAAAAGAAGAAGAAGCCACCGCGGGCTGTTTATCTCATTACAAATCGTCCATGCTTGTTCTACCACTTGGGTTATTCACTGATCTGTGATCTGACCAGTGACCACGCAAGTTTGTAACTCTGGACTGCGATAACCGAGAACCAAGTGATACTAATTGAACATTCTGTCTTCATGCGAGGGTCTGAGTGTATCCAGGTATTACCAAGCAGACCAGAGTGTCGTTACTGTTTTGCTTCCTGAAACTATAGTTGATGATGAGGTCGTTAATTAGTATCCTATATGCTGGGAACGTGGGTGCTTTCTTCTCCTTTTACTCTAAAAAAAAAAAACTCTCAGCTCATCCATTTACGAGGGGGTGACTGTAATGCTGAACACCTGCGATAATATCATAAAGATCTTGAGATACTGATCTGTTTTGACCGAACTCCTATTTTTTGAAAATGAATATATTTAATCATAAGAAAATTTTTCTTTGCCTTTTATGTGCAAATCCCCTCAGTAGGGAATGGATCCCAATCAAGGCAAGGTGTGACCCGAAAGGGGGAGGATGTGAATTTGGTTGCTTAGTGCTTATTTGCTACTAGAGTACCAGTCTCTAAACTTGCACGGTGGTGTAATCAGGATTCCTAACTCTTAGTTTTTGATATTTGAGTCCTTGAACTTGTGTTGCGGTGTCACTCGGGCCCCCAACTCTTGAATTTTGATATTTGGTTCCCTAAGCTTGTACAATAGTGTCATCTAAGTTCTCGAACTCGTGAGTCAACACACAATCAGCGTACCCCATTAACGCCATCGGTGTGTTGAAGTGCAAGTTAGGGGACTTATATGACACCGACATACAAGTTTGGGGATCCAAATATCGAAATTCGAGAGTTGGGGACCCAAGTGACACCATAGTACAAGTTCAGGGACTTAAATATCAAAAATCGACTGTTAGGATCCTAGATGCCACTAGCGTACAAGTTTAGGGACCACTAGTGAATTTTACTCTTGAAGCGATATGGCCTTGTTATTATGAAGCTCTGTCATATGGCTATGTTTTATATTGCAAGCCACTCATTTACATTGATATTATATCGTGTTTATTCTATATAATTGGAACCTCATGTTAAATCATTGTTTAAGTCAACTTGTGGTTTAAATAGCTTGTCAAAACAAATCTGTTTGTTGAGATGTTTCATCTCATCCTTGCATTACTCAATCTGCTAGGTACTTGATTGCTTTGCTTGAAGGGATGGGGTTAGCTACACTTTCATCACTATTTTGCCCACACTTTAGTGATGTAATAGTAGTTTTGACTTGCTGTAATTAACTTAGTTTATTAGTCATGATGACCCTTCATGGTTTAATAATATTAACTGAGGCGAAACCTTTCTTAATCATGGTTTTATTGTTGTTGTTGCTTCTACATTCTACTTTGTTGATCGTGTTTGCTGCTGAGTCTTCTACTCCAGCTTAAGGGAAGGGATGTTTAGTGACATCCTTGGCTTTTCTTGTGGCGACTGGGGTGTTACACATACACAATAGAAGTAACAAGCAACATAGCAATACATAGGATGACAAGAAGTTCTTATAACCATACAACAGGTCAAAATTCAATAAACAGATCTCGAAATCTCAACATTTTCATGTTTTGTTGAGATGAAGATGATAATGGAGATTCCAAGTCATATAATAGCTACCATAACTTAAAGGTCTAAACAGATTATTATAGCACATCCATTGCCTATTTGTGAACACCGAGACAAAATTAAAAAAACTCCAATAAGTATGAAACATAAGGAGTAAGTGTAATACAATTATCTAGTGTAATTGGCACATAGTCATATTTAAAGGACTGGAGAGCATGCACTTCCTAACGGTCCCCTATGCCAGAGAAAGAATATCACGTTACAATATGGATGCACGGTGACCACATGGTAGACTGGTAGTCAACCATGCCTTCACAACTCTTCTTCCCAAACAACCCCGGATTGCTCATCTGGTGCTTCAGGACCCATTTTCTTGAAGAACCCAGACCAATAGTCCTTAGCTGTCCCACTTCTTGCAATAACAAGAATAGCTCAGGTGGGACTTCCTCTTCATGTCCTTCTTCCACAACTCAATGCAGAAGTGCCTGAGACTAACTAAGGAAGAGCGCATAGTTATTATCTGCACCCACATTAAGCATAGGCGGTGCAGGGATGATGCATCGTGTATTCCCATGTGGATCCACCTTCAGTATCAGTTTCCTGTCGAAGATCAAGTAAACCATGCCATTGACAAAGCGGCCAAACACCCACAGATGGGGGAGGGATTTTGACTGATCTTGCGAAGCCGCCATCTTTCCAATGACCCTTGCCTTTCTTCAATCCAGTGAGCCGCATTGTGACTACAAAGCCCATTTTCCGACGAGTAGATGTGACTGGCACGCCAACAACATGGTCCCAGAAGAGAACCAACAGAAAGTGGGAGGACATGACAAGGTCAAAAAGAGAACAGGTGTGCATGGTCAAAGTGATGATACTTGGGTCGTCATCGATCCAGAGGTGTAGCTCGAGACGCACACATTGCTTCGTGGCTGGGTTGCACATGATGTAGCCAATCTCCAACGTGATTACAACATGACATCTTACTAAACAACTAGATGACTACTCCTCGAGCGATACTTATTTGTGAGACCGATCACAGGAAGAAAGAATTTGATATGTATGAAATAAACGAGTTGTATAATTATATAGAGTTATGTATGCTCATAGTCATTTTGAAAAGCGTGGAAAACACAGTCATGCTAACAAAGTCATGTTTAAAAGTGTGGATATCACACACTAACCAAGTCATGTTGAGAAGTGTTGAGAGCACATACCGACTGATTTATGTTCAAAAGTGTGGAGACTACACACTAACAAAGTCATGTTATAATGTGTGGATAGTGCACACTTCCTGATGGTCAATATCATAGGACGCCAGTTGAAAATATGAGAAACTACATCCATTGAGAGAGCTAGCATATCTAAAGCTGCCTTACATGACTCACCAAATAGATTTGCATTGAGCAATGCTACTCTGTATAGAAACCCATGTTTCTAGCAACTCCACATTTGGAAGACTCTTGATGAACATATATATTAGCACTTGCCAAGTATCACTTACGGTACTCATTTGCGAGCACCAATGAGTCGGATAAATAACTCCAATAAGTATAGAACATAAAGATTAATCATCTCGTGGCATTTTGAAACATGTCAAGAGCACTCACTTCTAATAGTTTTCAAAATCTTGTGATATGATTTGAGCATCCTAGTGCTGAAAAATGCATTCTAGATGCATGGTGGCCACATGGTAGTCAACCTTTCCTATGCAACTCCTCTTTTGAAACAGCTGTAGTGAACAAATCTAGTGCTTCAGGACCCTTTATTGCGTGCCCAAGTCTTGAAGAACCCCCAGACTGATACTCCATTGCACCTCCATTCTTTAGTATAATGATGATGTGCTACCGTGGGAGTATGACAACTTTTATCACAATACATTACCTTCTTCGATGACGCAATAAAGTTCCCTTAGGAGTCGTCAACAAAGAGCACATGGTTGATATGTGCCCATAGTGTGAGTGATGAGTGATTATCAAGATGATAATCATCAGAGCTTTGGTTAAGTGTGTGTTGGACTAACCGATGCAAGAGTTGGTGTGTGCAACATCATGTCTCTTAATTAGCTATGGACGGGTAGGTGTTGAGCATGAGACGGACGACGACAATGGAGAAGGTCAAGTGAGGAGTTTATGCATGATAGATTGGGAGTTGTGAGGGGGGGGGGGGCTTGAAGGCTTGGATCGAGGGACCGAGGGTCGGAGGATTGACCGTGGACGTCTAGCACTTGGGCACGCCAACAAGCAAGTGTACATGTGAGGATGGTGGTGAATACGGTATTGAATGAAGTCAAGACACAGGGATTGGACCAAGTCTAGTGCGTTTCTTCAAAAAGACACATAAATATGACAAATGTTTGGTTTTCTTCCAATCAACATCTCATCGGGAGTCTTCTCGGTGACAATAGAGTTGGTTAGACACATGACAAGCCGTGTTGATGGCCTCAGGCAAACATCGGCAATAAGCTGCTCTTTATCGGCTGGTCGCAAGGACTCCTGCACTGCATCGTCGAAGAGAAGGTCATCGACAATGCCCATGTCACCGGTTGAATCGTTATCGAAAGAAATGGAGGAGCCATGGACTGTCGATCTGGGTTCTTAGGGACATGGATACACAAGAATGTGTGTTCAAGCACAAGGTGAGCCGTGGGCAGCTATTTGAGAATGGGATCAGGACCAGAGATGGCTTGGTTGACTACCGTGTTGTCACCATGCATCCAGATTGCAACATGGTTTTCTTTCATCTGCGACACCGAGATAGTCATCCAATGATATCGTATGACTTTGACCATCAGCAAGTTTGTGTGTGGACACCTATAAAAATCACACAACTGATAAGATTATTCTTTTTGTTCCATACTTGTCTGAGTTATTTCTCGGAGTCCTTGGTGCTCACAAATGAGCACTACTTCTAGGAGTGTTGCACCCACTACTTGGGGAATATATACTTGTCTAGATGTTCAGTAAGAGTTTCATCTTCCAATTAAGTATGGACTTTGGAGCATCGACCTAGTAAGAGTTAGCTTTGCTTAAAGCAAAGCCTACATGTAAGGCAACGTTTCAACGAATGTAGCTCCCCGGTTATTTCTCAAACTGTTACATTTCAGTTTGAAGCCATTCACATGTACCAAACAGTGCAAAAATATATGCATGTTTCCTGGATTACAAATTTACGACCATCATATTTGCATTTGGAATTTCTTTCTTAGCTTCAAATATAGCGTTTATTTAATGTTTTTAACTGTGTGGTTTACTCTCTTCTTTCCTCTGTGTGTTGACAAGCCGTGTTGATGGCCTTAGGCTAACATCAGCAACAAGGTGCTCTTTATCGGCTGGTCGCAAGGGCGTCTGCATTGCATCGTCGAAGAAGGTCATCGACAATATACCCATGTCACCGGTTGAATCATTATCGAAAGAAATGGAGGATCCATGGACTGTTGATCTGGGTTCTTAGGGACATGGTGGATACTCAAGAATGTGTGTTCAAGCACAAGGTGAGCCGTGGGCAGCTATTTGGGCTCATGATCAGGAACTGAGATGGATTGGTTGACTACCGTGTGGTCACCTTGCATCCAGATTGCAACATGGTTTTCTTTCATCTATGGCACTGAGATGGTCATCCAATGATATCGTATGACTTCTACCGTCAGCAAGTTTGTGTGTGGACACCTATAAACATCACACTACTGATAAGATTATTCTTTTTGTTCCATACTTGTTTGAGTTATCTCGGAGTCCTCGGTGCTCACAAATGAGCACTACTACTAGGAGTGTTGCACCCACTACTTGGGGAATATATACCTGTCTAGATGTTCAGTTAGAGTTTCATCTTCCAATTAAGTATGGACTTTGGTGCATCGACCTAGTAAGAGTTTAGCTTTGCTTAAAGCAAAGCCTACATGTAAGGCAACGTTTCAACGAATGTAGCTCCCTGGTTTTTACTCAAACTGTTACATTTTAGTTTTAAGCCATTCACATGTACCGAATAATGCTAAAATATGTGCCTGTTTCCTGGATTACAAATTTACAACCATCATATTTACATTTGGAATTTCTTTCTTAGCTTCAAGTATAGCGTTTATTTGATGTTTTTAACTGTCTTGTTTACTCTCTTCTTTCCTCTGTGTGTTGACAAGCCGTGTTGATGGCCTCAGGCTAACATCGGCAACAAGGTGCTCTTTATCGGCCAGTCGCAAGGGTGCCTGCATTGCATCGTCGAAGAAGGTCATCGACAATGCCCATGTCATCAGTTGAATCGTTATCGAAAGAAATGGAGGAGCCATGGACTTCCGATCTGGGTTCTTAGGGACATGGATACACAAGAATGTGTGTTAAAGCATAAGGTGAGCCATGGGCAGCTATTTGGGAATAGGATCAGGAACGGAGATGGCTTGGTTGACTACCGTGTGGTCACCATGCATCCAGATTGCAACATGGTTTTCTTTCATCTGCGGCACCGAGATGGTCATCCAATGAAATCGTATGACTTTGACCGTCAGCAAGTTTGTGTGTGGAAACCTATAAACATCACACTACTGATAAGATTATTCTTTTTGTTGCATACTTGTCTGAGTTATTTTTAGAAGTCCTTGGTGCTCACAAATGAGAACTACTACTAGGAGTGTTGCACCCACTACTTGGGGAATATATACTTGTCTAGATGTTCAGTAAGAGTTTCAGCTTCCAATTAAGTATGGACTTTGGAGCATCGACCTAGTAAGAGTTTAGCTTTGCTTAAAGCAAAGCCTATTTATAAATTCATGTAAGGCAACGTTTCAACGAATGTAGCTCCCCGGGTTATTGCTTAAACTGTTACATTTTAGTTTTAAGCCATTCACATGTAACAAACAATGCTAAAATATGTGCCTGTTTCTTGGATTACAAATTTACAACTATCATATTTACATTTGGAATTTCTTTCTTAGCTTCAAGTATAGCATTTATTTAATGTTTTTAACTGTGTGATTTACTCTCTTCTTTCCTCTGTGTGTTGACAAGCCGTGTTGATGGCCTCAGGCTAACATCGGCAACAAGGTGCTCTTTATCAGCCGGTCGCAAGGGCGCCTGCATTGCATCATCGAAGAAGGTCATCGACAATGCCCATGTCACCGGTTGAATCGTTATCGAAAGAAATGGAGGAGCCATGGACTGTCGATCTGGGTTCTTAGGGACATGGATACACAAGAATGTGTGTTCACGCACAAGGTGAGCCGTGGGCAGCTATTTGGGAACAGGATTAGGAACTGAGATGGCCTTGTTGATTACCGTGTGGTCACCATGCATCCAGATTGCAACATGGTTTTCTTTTATCTGCGGCACCGAGATGGTCATTCAATGATATCGTACGACTTCGACCGTCAGCAAGTTTGTGTGTGAACACCTATAAACATCACACTACTGATAATATTATTCTTTTTGTTCCATACTTGTCTGAGTTATTTCTCGGAGTCCTTGGTGCTCACAAATGAGCACTACTACTAGTTGTGTTGCACCCACTACTTGGGGAATATATACTTGTCTAGATGTTCAGTAAGAGTTTCATCTTCCAATTATGGACTTTGGAGCATCGACCTAGTAAGAGTTTAGCTTTGCTTAAAACAAATCCTATTTAGAAATTCATGTAAGGCAACGTTTCAACGAATGTAGCTCCCCGGGTTATTGCTCAAACTGTTACATTTTAGTTTTAAGCCATTCACATGTACCAAACAATGCTAAAATATGTGCTTGTTCTTGGATTACAAATTTACAACCATCATATTTACATTTGGATTTTCTTTCTTACCTTAAGTATAGCGTTTATTTAATGTTTTTAACTGTGTGGTTTACTCTCTTATCTCCTCTGTGTTTCCACATAGTTAATTTGAACTTTTGCCTACAATGATACATGGCAAGGAAAGTTTCACGACAGAAAATTCTATGGCATCTACCTAAAATGACGCCTTGCTGTATATGCTTCTGAAATTGCTGTAACATGTTGAATATTGATGCTGGTTCTTACATTACCTTTGTCTAGTACACTTATACCGTATTCAACTACAGGGCACTGGTTCTTTTTGTTACATTACGCAATGGAAGTACTTAGGGCAGCTCCACTGTACGAATTGAACCGAGAGACAGAGTTCGTTTCTGTAATTCTGTGTTTGACGGTCCACTACCTTCAGTGTGAGTGGGTCCTAGCTCCAGTTATTTATCATTTTTTTCCTGGCTATCCTGCTGGCTGTGCATGAGAGCTCCTCCCCTTCCCTTATCCTATTCTCTCATTTTCCAACTAGTATTATTTTATTCCCATAAGATCGAACCAAGTTTGGATTTCGCTTTTGATTCTTACACCGACGATTCGACTGGTGTAGTGTGCTGTGTTCGATCCCCCCCTGTTTGATTTCGGCATACATTGCTGTTCTTACTGTATACAAGTCCGCATAGTCGTTACTCTGTAGTACTTCAATATGTGTTACTTACGAGGAGTTTGAGTAGAAACTTGAGAAACACGATAATTCATGATTAAACTCCAAATGGTTCGTATCCTCCATTAAGGCAAAGCTGGCATTTTTCTGAATGAAATAACAATTCATGTCAATAATAATATTCTGTTTTCGATGTCAGTCTCCAATATAATCTTTAACTGAACAAAACATGATAAGTATGAAACATAAGGAGTAAGAGTAATACAATTATCTAGTGTAATTGGCCCATAGTCACATTTAAAGGACTAGAGAGCGCGCCCTTCCTGACGGTCCATATTATACAACATCATTTATGCATCCTGATGCCAGAGAAAGAAAATATAATGTTACAATATGGATGCACGGTGACCACATGGTAGACTAGTAGTCAACCATGCCTTTAATGTACAACTCTTCTTCCCAAACACCCCTAGATTGTTCAGCTGGTGCTTTAGGACCCATTTTCCTGAAGAACCTAGGCCAATAGTCCTTAGCTGTCCCACTTCTTGCGATAACAATGGGACAACTCAGGTGGGACATCCTCTTCTTCATGTCCTTCCACAACACAATGCAGAAGTGCCTGGGACTGACTAAGGAAGAGCACATAGTTATTATTTGGACCCACATGAAGCATAGGTGGTGCAGGGATGACACATTGCATATTCCCTTGTGGATCCACCACAAGTAAATTTTGACCGATCTCGCGAAGCCGCCATCTTTCCAATGACCCTTGCCTTTCTTCAATCCAGTGCGCCACATTGTGACTACAAAGCCCAATTTCTGACGAGTAGGTGTGACTAGTTGTCCTTTTCATGCGCGCACCAACAACATGGTCCTAGAAGAGAACCGACTGAATGTGGGAGGACATGACAAGGATGAAAAGAAGACGGGTGCCCATGGTAAAGGTGATGATACATTGGTCATCATTGAGCCAGGTGCACCCACAACACCTCTGTACATGGTAGAATCCTTGGTACCCAACCTTGTTCCACTAGTGACCGAAAGTTTTTCAGTTGTGGATAAAGGTGTACTGACCGGCTTGCACAGCTGCATGTTTACTCTTTTTAGAATGTCAGTAGCATACCGTTCTTGAGTCATCAACAACTCACCCTTCTTCCTCTGAACTTGAATTCCCAAGAAGTAGTGGAGCTCTCCGAGGTCCTTGATTGCAAATTCCTTGTCGAGATCACGAAGAAGAGCATCAACTGCTTCTTGTGAGGAACTGGCTGCAATTATATCATCAACATATACAAGCATAAAAATAACATGACCTCCTTTCCTATAGAAGAAAAGAATGGTGTCTACCTTAGAAGGAACAAACCCAAGACTTTGCAATTTCTGACACAACCATGAGTACCAAGCACGGGGCACCTGCTTTAAGCCATACAGGGCCTTGTCAAGTTTGCACAAATAGTGAGGCTTGCTGTTATCTTCATATCTAGGAGGCTGTCGCATATATACCTCTTCTTCAAGGAAGCCATGCAAAAAGGCTTTGTGTACATCAAGTTGCCTCAAGCACCAGTTTCTTGACATAGCAAGTGACAGAACAAGCCGGATTGTAGCTGCCTTGACTACAGGACTGAACGTGTCCTCATAGTCAATACCATACCTCTGTTTGAAGCCTTTAGCTACCAGACGCGCCTTGTACCTATCTATCTTGCCATCTGACTGTCTCTTGAGTTTGTACACCCATTTACAGTCAATCACATTCTTCCCTTTCTGAGGCGGTACTAGATGCCAAGTTTTATTTTTCTGCAAAGCTAAAAACTCAACATCCATAGCACGTTTCCAATTCTTATCAGACAATGCATACTGTAAAGTGGGAGACTCTTCAGTAGTGGCTATATGACCATACCGGATCGTTCCATCGGTGTATGTTTTAGATTTCTGGATACCTTGTTGGAGATGAGTCACTGGTTGCTGTGGAGTTGGTGCAGCAGCCGGCGCAGAAGATCCCGGTAGCAGATCAGAACCAGCCACAGGAGATCTAGCGCCAGAAGTAGTCGCGAGCTCCGGCGCAGAAGATCCTGGCGCCGTAGCCGAGGGCGATCCGCTGCCCCCTTGCCCCCCGTGGTCGGAGCGAGTTGACGCTCAGGCGGGACAGGTGGCGGAGTCGGAGTGGAGGAAGCGGGCCCAGAGGAGGGACCGGCGGGGGCGCTGTCCATCAGCGCCGGACTCGAGGCGGATGTGCCTGATGAACCCACAACAGCAGCAGGCGAATCCGCACCGGGATCGCTGCGGGTTCTTGCCGAAAAAGGAAAGGGGCGACGCAGCATGAAATCACAGTCATTTGGCCTAAGATTAGAGTCCAATGACGCCGAATTTTCACCAGATCCTGCATGCTCAACAGAAGGGTTAGTGCGCAGGGAACCATTACCAAACGGATCAGAAGAATTGCCGTCCCAAAACTGGATGAAGGATTAATTAGGGTGGGTGGGAGGAGTAAAACTTCAGATCTAAGACGAGCACCAGCGTTAGGATGGAGTTGAGCAAAAGGATAAACAATCTCATAAAAAACCACATCACGGGAAATATAAATCCGCCCTTCAGATATATCAAGACATTTGAACCCTTTATGCATGTTGCTATAACCAAGAAAGACGCACTATTTTGAGCGAAATTGAAGTTTTCTAGAATTATAAGGACGAAGGTTGGGCCAACATGCACACCCAAAGGCACGAAGATTGAGATAATCTGGTGTATGATGAAAAAGGCGCTCTAGAGGAGTTTGGCCTTGAATAACTTTGCTAGGAAGCCTATTAATCAAATAGGTAGCAGTGACAAAAGCCTCATCCCAAAATTTTAAAGGCATGGACGCATGAGCAAGCAAAGTCAGGCCAATTTCAACTATGTGCTGATGTTTACGTTCAGCGGAACCATTTTGTTGATGAGCATGAGGGCAAGACACGTGATGTGAGATGCCTATACGCTGGAAAAAGGCATTCAACCTTTGATACTCGCCTCCCCAATCCGTTTGGACAGCTAGAATTTTCTTATTAAATTGCCGCTCAACCATGGATTGAAAATCATGAAATTTTTGGAAATCTTCAGATTTGTGACGTAAAAGATAGATCCATGTGAACTTGCTAAAATGATCAATAAAGCTAACATAGTAATTATTTTTGCCAATGTATGGGCGCAGGCCCCATACATCCGAAAACACAAGTTCAAGAGGACTCCATGATACACCGATTGACACGGGTAAGGCAACTGATGACTCTTGCCTTGTTGACAGGCATCACACACCTGTTCTTTATTGGACTCAGAAACAAAAGGGACACGACTCTTGCTAAGAATCTGTTGGACTACAGATGACGACGGATGACCGAGACGGCTATGCCACCTAGACGTGGAGGGCTTGATGGCGACATCGTCACTTTATTGGAAGAAGACCTAGACGACTTCAATGGATAGAGCCCTCCTTTGCAATCCCCTCTAAGCGGCGTTTTCTCGTGGCCTGATCCTTGATCAAAAAATAATCGGGATGATATTCAATAAAGGCATTGTTATCGGATGTAAGACGATGAACGGAGGCAAGATTTTTGTTAGCTTCAGGAACGTAAAGAACATTCTTAAGAACAAAATTTCGTTTAGGGGTACGAACAATACTTCGACCGATTTGGTTGATTCTCATACCTGCGCCGTTGGCGGTATGCACCGATCGATGCCGTGGTACTTGTCGTGGGTGGTGAGCTTCTCAATTCTCCGTTGATATGATCAAGTAGCACCAGATGTCGGTGTACCAATTTGTATCTATGCCGTGGAGGTCAGAGCCAATGACGCCTTTGTGCTGCTCTCTGTAGGTCTAGTGAAGGAGGCGTCGGAGCGATTGAAACAGTGAAGAACGGTGTGGCCCTCTTTGCCGCAGAGCTGGCAAGTGGGGCGATCATCGTTGGGGTTCTGAGGGCGACCACCGTTGCCGCCATTGTTGCCGCGACCACCACGTGTGGTGGCGTTCGCCGAGGAGCCTGAGCCGCCATGGAGTAGATCCGTCCTTTGTTCCCAACTCACCAGTTAGGTGTAGAGCTCGCCGAGGGTCAAAGGCTCAACGCGTGACGCCATGGAGCACACGACAGGATTAAAATCCGTGTCAAGTCCGGCGAGGATGTATGAAGCGATCTCTTCATCTTCCAGCTTCGTGCTGGTGGCCACCATATCATCGGCAAGGGCTTTCATCTTGCTGAAGAATTCTGCGATGGTGGATGAGCCCTTTTGCGCGGTGGCCAAAGCCATGCGCGTGTTGATCACTCTGCCGCGGGATTGGGAGGCAGTCATGTCCTGGATCGCCTTCCAGATCTTGACGGCGGTGGTGCATGCAGACACTTGCACCTGGACATCCCTGGACACAGACGAGATCAAGTAGTTGAAGATCTGCTCACGTCGCGTACTCGGGGTTGGGGATGAGCTCGTCCGGCTTATCAGCCGACTTGGGAATCTCCTTTGGCGGCATCGCCGCCGTGGTGACGTTGAGGAAGTGCGCCATCTGCGCACCGCGGATGGCAGAGAGCACTTGCGCTTTCAGAGAGGAAAGTTGTTCTTGGCGAGCTTCTCTATGACCGAACATCCGATCAAAGAGTACGATGCAGGATGCACGGAAGAAGACGCCATCGATGAGTTTGTGGACTAACCTAGCTCTGATTACCATGTGAAAATGGTTGTAACGTGATGCCTTCTCAGGCTCACGGCTCCATGTTAGTATAGCCAGGAAGAGCCCCTAGCGTGGCTCTTACAACTTGAACAAGAAGAAATCAATCTAGCAACTAACTTACAACAGAAGATTACAACTCGGGATTATCATATCCTATCTCTAGTGGAGCCGTAACAACATGCCTTGAGTAGCAATCCAACACGCCAGCATGCCGTGATCACATGCCATGCATATCTGGGATATTCTGGTTCCAACCATCAGATATTCCAACAAGAACCTTCACGAGGGTGCCGTTGGGGATCCAACTGCTCTCGTCCAGCATGCTAGCTGTTCGCTGCAAGAAATGGAAGAAGGATTTCCTCAAAAAAAAAAGAAATGGAAGAAGGAGCTAGCTGCAGAGGTGATCAGGGAAGAGTGCAGCCGGCACAGGGTGCCATGGTACCTGCCGGAGACTGTGGAGATCGTCCCTCGCTTGGTGCCTGCCGTGAGCGATGTTGGTACGAGAAGAGCTAGGGGTTTGGGGAGCACAGGATATATAGCGTCGGGAAGTTCCTTCTGTAGCCCAACGACTCGGAAAAACAACCAGCTTGAGCACCCAGTTTCTGTCAAGTATACTAGCGGCCAGTAGATAGTGAGCAGCTAGCCAGTAGATAGAGAGCCTGGTTATCACCAGCAAACTATATTTATATTTACCACTCCAGGTCAGAATTTCGTCTGCATGTGCCCGCAGGGTTTAATGTAGTACTCAATCCATCCCAAATTGTAAGACGTTTAACTTTTTTGATACCAAGTTTGACCACTCGTCTTATTCAAAAATTTGTATAAAATATCACTTCTTTCGTCGTGGTTTGGTTTATTAATAAAAATTCTTCAAGAATGGCTTAAATTTGACTATATTTGCACAAATTTTTTGAATAAGACGAGTGGTCAAACTTGGGGGCCAAAAAAAGTCAAACGTCTTACAATTTGGGATGGAGGGAGTACATTATTATTCGAGCGCAGAAAGACGCTGACAGGATAAAAAAATCAATCACCAATAATTTGCAAAATCTCTGACTAAGGGGATTTTTTTGGAGAAGGAAAATTTTATTTCATCCCAAGATCAGTATAT